ATACACCATCATTGTGTGAGTCAGATGATGACATTCAATTCATGGGATTTGGAGATGCAAGTAATGGTATTAACACAACACTGCCAGACTGTGAGTGCAACATGGAAGGAAGGGAAATAAATACTGACGTGTAAGTAACTTAAACTTCCACTGCCAATTTCCATATAAATAACAGTCAGTCATCAGAAATTGTCAGACTGAAAATTTCCCACTAATATTTCATTTTTTTAACACATGATGCTTGGGCACTAAAAGGGCTCAGTTTTTATCAGGAAGTAATAAATTTTTGTCTAAAAGTAAGGAACATTAAATTGGTCTTTTTAAGTAAGGAAAACGTAACTGCAGCATTGAACTTCCTTATACATGTTGTGGAGGAGCAGGGATTATAGTATCTACATGTATTTCGTGTGGTGTTATCCTAACAGGCATAAATGTAAGAAATTAATATCAAGGACAGACTTTCAGCGTTGCATTTACAGACAAGGAGATATATCTCAGAAATCTGTTTCATAAAGACAATATTGTATAAAAATTTGATTGCTCTACATTCTTTTCATTTTAAACTTGAACTTGATTGTTGTGTCACAGGCACCCCTTTCTTGTATGATGCTATGATATTTAAATTCAAGTTTTAATTTATATGTTATCCACAGTCATTAGAAAATATTGCCTATATACTCTAATGAGGGGCAAGAGGACCTTAAATAAACTACCAGACTTATGTGGGGAAGTTCCCTTATTTGCAGGTAGAATTATAAATATTATAATATATATCTATTGTGTACTCTTGACTTCATACCAATCACTGTGATGGTATTTGTTTACTTTTATTTTACTAGGCCCATGACTCCAATGCAGTTGGACAATTACTACGCCTCCATTCTGGTAGAGCAACCTGGAAGTACATGTCACAGGGAAAGTTATTCGTCTGACAGTGAAGGTGACGTTTCTGCAAGTGAAACCCACAGTGATAATGTCCCAGCTGTTACTTGTTCTCAAGTGAAACCAGCACCTGAAATACTGAATGAACTAGCAGCCCAGATAAATGCTGATTGCCTCACCAAATTCAACATTGCTCGCAATTTCATATGGGAAGGAGCCAAGAGAGCAGTTTCCCGCAAAGTATTTTCGCCAGCTAACAAGGTATCTGTTAAGTTCACTGATGACACTGGGATCAGTGAAGGTGCCATCGACTGGGGTGGCCCCATGAGAGAGTTCTTTACGCTGATACTACAATGCATCCATGATTCTCAACTTATGTGTGGTCCGGAGAGCTGCAGATTCCTGTCATACAATGTAAAGTGTTTAGAAGATAATGACTACTTTGTTGCAGGACTGATGATTGCAATGTCACTCGTGCATGGGGGACTTGCACCGCACTTCCTATCCCCTGTCATGTTTCAAGCTCTTCTCAGTGACCAACCTTTGACAGTGCCATTGCAAGATGTCTATGATCATGAGCTGAAATCTTCTCTGAAATCTCTGATAGACTGTGACACTGTAGAGAAAGCAAAGAGCTGCACAGTTGATGGCAACTTGTCAACTGTTCTTGAGCTGGCTGGAACATTGGCAATGCCAATACAAACCCTGGATGATGTCAAGAAAATGGTTGCAACAACTTCGCAGTGGTTTGTTCTCGGGCGATGTAAACCAGCCCTTGAGAGCTTCCGAGAAGGCCTCTCAGCCCTTGGCGTACTAGAAGCAGTCAAGAGATATCCTGATAGTTTCAGGCCATTGTTTTGTGATGTACCCGAGAAGCTGACAGCAGAAAGAATGGAACAATTGTTCAGGCCTACGTCAAGCCCTGTTGGTTCTTCAAAGGCATTAACCGAGAGTCTTGTTTTGTCCAGATGGGGTGATTATCTTCAGGACATAGAAGATGCGGAAGATTCTGACATCACCTTGAGTGACATTTTGTTCTTTACCACTGGCTGCAAAGTATTACCACAACGTGCGTTACCTGTCACCGTTGAGTTTTTGCATGAAGGGTTGTCAAGATTTCCCACAGCAAATACATGTTCAAACATCCTCCGTCTTCCAGTTGTGCATAGTGATTATGAAAGCTTCAAAGCTGATGTTACCTTTGGATTTCTCAATGCACGGGGTTTCGGTACTGCGTGACAAGCAAGGTGCAGTGCAGTTCAAGCCATTTTTGGACAACTGGAATTGGAAGTTGCTGGGCCAAACAATGCATGTTTATCAGGTTAAACGGCACCTTCCCAGTGGCATATTTTATAAAGACTCTTTGTTACTGTTACTGTTTGTTTAACTTAGAATGCCCAATGTCAGACTATCTAGCTGATAAGAGGGAGACACCTCGGGTATTAAAGGGTTACGGTTGCTGTTTATTACGAATGTGAATGCATTCAGTGCGTACACGTGCACATTAACATCAATTTTTATGATAGTCAACATTTCGTGTTCATCAGAATTAGTCCGTTTTGCTATTTGATATCTGTTTACTCAGTTGAATTGAGCTGATTTCACCTAAGATAATTATCTTATGTTAATATTCTGCTGTATACAATGAATATTGGCGGAGAAATTTTGTCCATTTTCTCCTTATTGCGTGTGCATCCTCCTTTTGACAAAAAGACGACAACAATGAATCGTTTGAGAAAGAAAATTGCTAATAAAGTTGATGTTTGGCTGTTGATGCTTTTGCTATTGTTCTAACAGTATTCTCTTCGCATCAGTCAGCATTGAGACTTGTTAATGAATGAAGAGTCCTGGCCAAGGTTTCTTTGGCGAGAAAGAACAGGCGCAAGGGGCAGGAATATTCGACATGTTTCTGGTCGACCATTCTCATAAATGTGAAGCTACAATAACTTCTCTATCTCGTTCACGAGAATCAAATAAAGATTCTGTGCCTCGTTAGCATTTTCTGGCATTCTAAGACCTTCTTCTGTCATGATGACCTGGGCAAGTGCATTGAATTCAGGTGTTGATTCCAGAGGCAGGTCATCACAACACATATCTCTAGCAACATCTAAGTCGTCAATGTCAACATCATGCTTGCAATCTGTGGCCCCTGTCATTTCAGGGTGATGGTATAAGAGACAAGGTCGACCATGGGGAGAACTGTTGTTCCTTGTTGAGGGTCGAATCCGATGTAGGTTCCACAGTCTAGCCACTCTTTGGAGTTCCTCACGGATAATTGTGATGTAACAAAACAGTAGACATTCTTCATGCACAGCATTGGCATCACAGTATAGTCCTCTGTCCCTCAAATCTTTAAAATGAGTAATCCACCAATCAGAAGCTCCTCTTCGCAGTTGTCCCCACCATGCTTCTATTCTCTGATTAGCAACTGATCTTCCATAAAGAAAACTTTTCTCTCCTGACCAACTATCTCCTCCTTCATGTCGTAGATAGCGTTGAATAGCAGCGATTCTCACGTTTTCTGTCCCCATGTCTCCACGAATTACACTGGCGGTACCTCCAACATTTTGTACACAGTTAATAAAATAGCTTGCAACAACGCCGGGATGATTATTCGTACGCCCAACTTCAAGCCACATGAATTGTCTCGAATATCCGTCAATACAACCGTGTATACAAAACCCATAAGGTTTCAATTTATCGTATCCGTCCAGGTGCCAAATAAAATTTGGGCCCTTTGCGTGATATTGTCGCCTTTGGAGTCTATGCCTTGAGCGCCTTTGTACCCCTTCAGGATCCATTATTCTTAACGCATTCCTAACAAATTCTTTGCTAACAGACAATTTATGGTCAACCACTAATCTCTGCCACATAGATCTGTAACCGACAATGCTTCCACTTCCTTTTAACTCCTCTTCCATGGCGTCTGCTATCTCAACAAAGTTGCTAAAGCGTCGTCGTCCAAGATTTTTTTGCGATAAGATTCTTTTAAGCTGTCGTAGACTTAAAGGTATTCCATTATTTAAAAAGAGACAATCAATGATTTCCTTATAATTGAAGCCCAAATGGAAATATTCCTCAATCATATGATTTTGAAGGTCGTTATCCGCCATGTCGTTATCCGCGATGTCTCAGTGATTTAGGACAGCGGCTCCTCCCAGAAGGTTAAAAAGACCTAACGCCAATAAATGAGGACACGGTTGATACGTGGTCTTGAACACAATTTTTTACATAATTTTTTGTCCCTATTACAGGACTAGATACTTGTTAAGGGTGCTGTAAAGCAAGAATCAAGCTTGTTCTGCCTGTTGTGCTTTTCCAGCCTGGCAAGGCTTTGTGTTTTTCGAGCAATAATTTACTCTGTCAACAGAGAAAATAGCGAAATAATAAGACTAGCTACCTTCCCGCTATTCATTCTCGTAATTCCTTTAGGAATACGACCGTATTCAGAGCTAAATTACATGCTACTTACCTTCTCTAGATCGGAGTCAGCCGAGTCAGCCATCTTGCTCACAACTGCACGTGTTCGTAACTTGAGCCCGCAATAAAATCTAGCAGCGGTCTACAAATGAGCGCTAGAGAAAAAGCAAAAAAAGTCGCGCCGGCGAAAAAAAGTCGCGCTGGTGAGAAAAAGTCGCGCCGGCGAAAAAAAGTCGCGCCGGCGAAAAAAAGTCGCGCCGCTGAGAAAAAGTCGCGCTAATGAAAAAAGAGTCGCGCCAGCAAAAAAAAGTCGCGCCAGAGAAAAAAAGTCGCGCCGCTGAGAAAAAGTCGCGCGAGGAAAAAAAAGTCGCGCCGGTAAAAAAAAGTCGCGCCAGAGAGAAAAAGTCGCGCCAAGGGTAAGAAAGTGTTCGCCATAAACACAAAAGAATACATTCCCAATATAATGCTGTACGTGCGCGTGTATGGCACTAACAGGGCTCCGTACTATTCCTATATATTTTGACTAATAAATCCCTGCGATGAAAACATCATCAATCTAGTAAGTGTCTCTTAAAATAAAAACATTCTAAACTATAACAAATGCGAGTATACTACACCGACTGTGCTGGTTAGTATCTTTTACATACACTTTGTTTCCTCCTCTTCTACTTTATCCTTTCTATGTTACTGTTTTTGTGCTGAAATCTTAGTGTTGAAGAAAAAGTAAAAAAATTACTTGGGTTTAAATTAAAGGGTTGATTAATAATGGTAATTGAACTGAGTAGAGTGCAATTTGGTCTAAAATCATACGCGTAATTTCAAAATCGAACGAGCGCGCAGCGCGAGTTCGATTTGAAATCACAAGCATGATTTCAGACCAAAATTGCACGACACGAAGTTCAATTACCACTTTATTACATCCATTTTGAAATCGCAGAATTTAGTCAGTACTAACATTTTATTGATCGAGTAGCCGGTTTGTTAAAAAGCCGAAACAAAAAGGCTTTTACATCTCATTTTGTATTCGAAACAGAAATGATGCAATATAGAACAAAAATGGTGCGATTTAAAACAGAAATCATGCGATTTAGAACATGACTGTCGCGATTTGGTACAGATGCGATTTAGAGCAAAAAATGGGGCGATTTAGGAATAAATCACACTGCTGAGAGCCAATCAAATTGCACGGGTAGCCAGTGATTTCAAGGTGGATGTAATAAATTTGTCAATCAAGATAGTTCCATCACGAATAGTTTCATTTAAAGTGACAATGAGTCTGGAACAGGAGTACAAGACTTTGCCAAACTCTGGGTGCGAAGGACAGATGTTTAGCGACATCCACATTCCTCAACAATCGCTCCTTGGTGGGTTTTCAGCCCAATGTGACCCTGCGAATCCTCTTCGAACATGCTTACACCGTGCAGTTTTATCGGTACGCAACACGGCTCTCCGGCACCTTGATCTAGTCCAGATGAGTGTAAGATTGATCGCAAAATGGCGTGACCGCTTGGATTTACCTATAAAATAGTTAAATGCTCTCTCTTAAGTATCAAAAATATGATAGCTCTATTTTAAGATCTTTTAATATCGTTTCAAAACAGGGAGGCGTTAACAAACTTGTCAGGTTTCCCCCGTCCAAGCACATGGATCTGTGACTAGTACACGACCCCACAAACATGCCATGCTTAGATACGACCAGATACTACTGAAGAGATTAAGCATCGGGTTTACGGCAAACGGCAAACGTGAGATTTTCAAAATGAGAATTGAGTAGATAAAAACAGCTTAAAACAATTGTATGGATAGAATTGGCACGAATCTACCGATTTTCGTGTAGTTATAATGAACAGTAAACGATAAGTAAATTGAAAACTTGGTCACGTGGTACAAATTCACGTTGCCCTTAATCTTTCTACTGATCATGTATACATATCCTGGGGACCGAGTACTCAACCACATTCTCCTTTATCATTGAGAGATATAAAAGTCCTTCACCCACAAGAGATGCTGTAACTCAAGCTAAGGAGACAGAGGAGGTAATTCTAAGACTTGCATGCCGAAGGTACAAAAGGAAGCCCGCACGAGCGTTCACTCACTCAGACCACTACCTACTGCATGCAGACAGTAGCTTTGTTTCGTGCTAAACGAGTGTGTTCAAGGTTAAGAAAGGACAATTTGTAATATTTTGCTGAAAGCAAAAAATACTTACACTTGTATCCAACGGGAATTTGCATTCACCTCCACACCGGAATGACTCGAAAACGCGGGGAATGATGACATCGTTCCAACCAAGATGTCGCCTGACATCTACTGTCATGCGACGAATGGAACATGGACCCTCGTCACGAATGGCTGCTAGATGACGTCTGGACCTTCGAGGCAGCTCGAACATTTGTTTTGATCTGGAAAAAACTATTATAAAACCGTTTCGTCATTGACTATTAAAAAAACACCTGTTAGAGAACTTTTCTATAACTGAAATTTAAGACTTACGGTCAAACCGTGGTCAAGCGAACCCACATAGATTTTATTAAATAAATTATTTGAAAATTGAAAGTATATTGAAGTACAATATTCGCATCACCTACCTGTTATCCCGTCACGGGGAATTAAGTTAGGGGGTGGAATCGTGACAACCTCGTTCCCAGGGTTCTCTCCTACCCGCCTAAGAACCCTGGGAACGAGGTTGGAATCGTGACTGCCAGGACAATAGGCAATTTAAAATGAAGTAAGTCTTTTGTTTTTCATGTCTCAGTCCGTTCCTTGCTTTCCGGCATGGCACTTTTGTACCACGTGACTAGTATAGTTGCAAAGGCATGCAGTATACAACGTCACCCCGTCACCCAGCACCCGAGGGTGTGAGAGGGGCGAAACTTTGAAGTCACTTTCACTGAACGCGGAACTGCTTATAAAAAAGGAGGACACAAAAATCGCACTATCCTAAGCGAGGACCACGATGCATCATGCCATCAATCATAGGCTTCACGTGACGGAATTTGAGAAGTTTCTTAGCTATTTCCTGCCTTACGGGCTAATTATTCATGAAGTGAGAATAGTCCAAGCTACTGTCTCCTTGCAGTAGGTAGTGGTCTTGGAAGTAATTTTATTCCTTCAAAAGTTTAAAAGACGTATAGTGTGACCAAATTCTTATAATTCACTATTCGATCATTATACATCCACGGATATGTGGCTGTCAGTCAATTCTATCCCTGGCTTAAATTTTATTTTCTTTCTTTTGGGGTTTGGTAATGTGTGGTAATGAGTTTGGAACAAAGAAAAGCAAGAGCCATATGGCTCTTGAGGAAAGTAAAAATTAAACCAGAGATAAAATTGAGCCAAAACAGATACATACTTGAATTAGTCGACACTAGTAGCAGTAACGAACAATCGGATCCGTATTTCAACTACAGCTCTAGTCAATTGACTAATACAATCTATGGCTGTATGCTTGACCCAGTTTGACCGTACATTGGTCCATCCTTCGTTAATAATTAAATGATTTGTTTGTTTGGTCGTTTGCGGCTGTGTATCCACTTTAGTGTGAATAAAGTCCCACGAACTCCCAAGCTGGAATCAAAATTAAAACCTCGTCCCCAGGGTCGAGTCGTTTTTTCCAGTATGGCGGCGGCAGAAAAGAAAAGGGTCTCCTCTCATTAGATTCCATCGTCCCATTGTCCAGAACCACGTTGGACACCTTATGATGTTTACACAAAATAATTTCTTATATAGGGGAAAATGCACCGACCATAGTGACTGGGGTTAAGCACTGGAAAAAGTGGTCGAAGTGGTTAGCTTTCATTACCTGTTACCTTTGTCACTTTATATATGTAAATCAAAATCAAACTCGTGTAATTGAGAGGGAAATATTGTCTTTCTGGACGAGGGAATCGAATGCTGAAAAATTTTCTGCCGCTGTCAAATTTGTAAACGAAAAGACCCTGGGTGTCAGAACACTTTTTCCTACCGTTGCTTTGCCCATTCCTGTGACTGTTGGGACTATAGAATATATAAAAGAAAGCATTATGAAGATCTAAACACTAATACAGTCAACTCTCTTTATAGCGGACATTGTAGGGACCGCGAGTTAGTGTCCTCAATAGCGAGAGTCCGTAATAGTGGGAGTTTATATCAGTCAAACGCCTGTAATTTATTTTTGCCTGGGATGTAGCTGTTCTCCGTATTATTGGGGTGTCCGTTATTGCGGGGTGTCCGCAAGGCGAGAGTTGATTGTATCACCCGCCCTGCGAGCAAAGGCCCCTCCATTTTTCTACCTAAGTCTTATCGACTTATACAGGAGGTTCGAAGGGCTTTATCTCGTCGAAAGGATAGGTATAACAGACAGAGGATAAGGGGGACATCACTATATCCTTTTAGTGTGGCATTGATCGAGCTAAGAGCACATATGTTCAGAAATGCATGCAATGGCGAAAATGGCGTATCGCCAGACAGCTAGCATTTCAAATTGTATGCCAAAAGTGTCCCATTGGAGAGTAGGCGAGAACGTTATTTACCTCAACAAAGATGACAGTTTTTCTCCTCTATGGTGTTTGACAAAACGCGTTTTCACAATCAAGAGAGGTAGCGTATTTCGTCTGGTTCCAGTTTGCCCTCCCTTCACCTTGATCGACACATTCACATCCGGATTGTGTGACTTCGCCCTTACGAAAACTCCACAGTTTAGACGCTGTGAGAAAAGCCATCTCTGTACCATAGAACGAACAGAAAACATAACCCATCTAGTTCCAGACCTCCGGAATGCAACCGACTGAATGGCCTGGTGGGAAAACTGATCATAAAGAACAATGTCCCCACGCAATGGCAGAGATGGCACGTGACTTGCAATTTCAACCATTACTCGGAGTTTGGCTAATGAGAGACGCTCTTTTTTTTCAATGTTGAAGCCGTTTACGTTGAAGGAGACAACATTTCTCAGTGGTGCAACTGTCAAGGAGAGAAAAAGAGTCTGGTTGAGTAGGTGTTCGTGTGGCGTCTCTCTCCAAAAAACACCCCGGATTAACGAATGGCATTTTTGGCCCCCGTTATATCAAACTTTATGGAATAGGGCCGGGATAAGATGTTACAAAAAGCGATTTTTCGAGTGTACAGAAACGCCTTAAATGGTACGCGCTGGAGTTTTATAGTTTTCGAATACCCAGCCAATCCGGGGCTAGTGTCCATTTCTGGATATTGGTATCGTGCGTTGAGATTGGCAGCTATAGCCTTATGTCATTGTCAATGCCAATAGAGCTGCCTCCTATTACATTCATGTTGGTTTTGTAACTTCAATGACCAACATCTCTTATACTTGATCATTCAGAAAATACTATATTGCACATCTTTTAACTACTTCACCATACCATATCTATAAGGCATGCAAGATTAGGGTTTTATTTTGATTACCAGGCGTGGATACAAAAATGATTAATTGGGGCCTCTTTACATGGAGGTGGGGGATCCCAGGTAGGTGAGGTAAGCCGCTTAGGTGGGGTAACCCGCCTGTCCATATAATCTCTCATTTTAATTTGATCACGTTTACATGTCAGGTGGGGTAACCCGCCACATGTTACCTCACCTACCTGGGGTCCCCTACCTTCATGTAAACAGGCCCCAAGTGTAACAATGTTTATACCACTGCTGCTTCTGTTTTATTTCAGATTAAGCTACGAAGTCTTTATGAACAGGCACCCTGCCACCGCCCCCTCCTCCCCGCCACCCCTCTCCCTTGGGAAGTCCTCAGCATCCTTTAGCATTTTCTTGAAGGTAAATCTTCATCAGAAATTCAGGAATGTTCTTTAGTCTTGGCACTTTGTCTTGAGACACTGCTGAACCAGAATGCATCTTGTGGTCTATGGCCAAGGACGAACTGTCAATAGCGCTGCCGTTTGGAAAAGAAGCTAATGCCTCACTTTTGAGGCATATCGCAATAACAAACATCAAACCTAAGACACCAGTAATTGTCATCATGGACAATGTAAAAAATGGAAACGTCTACAGGGAGATAAACCGAGTTGCTTTTCAATATTGACCAGCTCAGAGATCACTCTAACTGTACTAAGATTAGTTGCCGGGCAGTGCTTCTTTATAAATCCACGCCGCTGGAAACTGACAACTCTTGAATTTGACAAGGTTAAATATATTAAACTTCAGGCGATTTTATGTTTGGTCTCGAAAAACATAATAAAAGTAAACACTACAACCTAAGATCAGTCTGTAAATATAACTCGTCAAAAATATCGTATGACTTAAAATAACAGCTTGTGCAAAAATGTCGTATGACTAAAAATGACAGCTTCTACGCAAGAGAAGAATCAGAGCGGACAGTCTTCAGTGAATTCTCCACGTTTTTTCCAGCAGAGAAAATGGTTAATATCTACGCTTTTTCAAAAGACAAACGTGAATACGTGCGTTCGTTTTTTTTTTTTATTTTGGTAACAACGTTTTTTGAATAAGAACCTTGCAAAGCCACTGTAGCGTGCAGATAATAAACAATTGTAATAGATGTTTTCAGTTGTTTGGCCACACTCGTACTCACTTGCACACCGCACGATATATCGCCTTTGCCTTTCGTCTTTGCCCACGGTCTTGGGTGAAAACTCCAGTACACGTGTTAAAAGCCGCCCTTACGCCGTCAATTATGTTACATTTGACTCTGAGTTTGTGCCTAATTTCATGTGGAAAACGAGACTTTATTTCGTTGCCTAGAAAAACAAGGTATTGTGGTCTATACAGGATTCCTTGCAAATGCTGCAAAGTCTATACATTGGGGAAACAAAAGGATCTACGCGCTGAAGAAGACATGAGACTCACTCGCACCGAGACTTCCGCACGCATTCCAGACAGCCATAATCCGTGCGCATTGGAATGAGGTTAAGTTAATGATCGAGACTCTTACTAATGCTCCTCCCAGCCCAAAGGGTGAAGAAAGATATACACATAAGCCTTCACCATAATATCATCGACAAGGAAAGTAGAATTGAAATTATAAAAGCGTAGATACCTACGGTTATAAAACATGACTGGAGCGTAATTGTACATCAGCGGACCGCCGAGGGAACATCTCCTCCTTGCGCATGCGCATGATCATCGTGGTATGATAAAAATGCACCAATCGCAACCAACCACTGTAGAACAAAAGGTATCGCGTAATCAATCGACCTCATCGCCCTAAGAGTGGTATCTGTAAACAGTCATTACTTTGCGACATACATCCAGAGCAAACAGTTCTTATTGGATTATCGTCAACACCTTGAGGGCTTGATAACCTTCCTGAAAATCACTGTGGAACCGCCAAATATTGATCCTATCGACCTTTTTGCGGTGGCCACCAATCTTGTTTTGACCGGAATCAAAGCTGATAAGAAATATTATGAGCACAAAACAATGTATCTAAAAATAAGTGATTGTCAGATCGGAAATCGAATGCGACTGGGAATAGGAACGGGGGAAGGACGTGCTTAACAATTACAGTAGAACTTCGATAACTCAAACTCTGATAACTCGAATTCCCCGCCGCTAACTCGAACTAAATTTCCTTTACCTTGATCACAATTTCACTGAAACTTACTCCAATAACTCGGATTCCCTACCAACTCAAACAGTATTTTTATAGGAATAAACCGCGGGAGTCTCTCCGGAAGGACGAGAGAGCGAGTGCCTCAGGAAACTCAGCAGCCTTTGTTTCAAACCAGGTCCAAACTAAAAGCGGACACTCGAACTTGATAATGGACAGTTTACTTCGCTGTTGCCCAAGCAAAAATACTCTTGAAATAGTTTCTTTCGATCAAAGTCGATTCTAGTCGATTTCCCCGGGGGACACTCCCTTATTTGCTATGTACCGGTGAACTGGGTATGGTTTTCACTATTTGGGGTCTTTAACAGGGTGTCTTTTTTGATCAGAAGCCTTTAAAAGAGTGAGAAGGCTGCAGATGGGCGGTCTACATTTGTGGCACCAACAATTCCCCCCACCCCACCCACCCCCAAAAAAGTTCTAAAAATAGATTGAAAAGTTTCTTAGTTCTGTATACAAAACGAAAGGATGTCTTATAATAAACTCTCTGGAGTTCAGGATGTTTTAACTAATACAGACGTGGGGGGTTGCATGTTTACTGATAGGAAAAGACAGATAAACGGTCCGCAAGGGCGGAGAAAACAGTTCTGGGCCACCGACTTATCAAGGCTATAAAACAACAAATCTTATTGTTTGAAGTGAACTATGAACTTTATAGAAAGCATTATCATCTAGGCCTAAAACACATGAACATTTCTGTTTCCGATTTCTGCTAAGACGAGCCCAATTAGCTGAGTCCGGAATTCAGAGTTTCTGTATTCTCTCTAATGATATTTCAATAATATGGTATCGACTCTTCTGTTTTCAAACTTCGATCGACAGAAAATTACGTATCTAAGTTAAAAAAGAGGAGAAAAAATTTGTCGTCGCTTGTTTCATCCTCCACAGAACGGGAAATAAAGTGATTTTCCCGTGTTAGTCCTGCAGGGACGACAAAAAATAGTTGTTTTGCATATTTAACCTCTATATTGCTTTCAGGACGAGCTCGTTGCCGTCGCGGTCGTCAGTTAAGGTCCCTAAAGAGCCATGCACGACTGATAACGGGTCCACTGAGCTCAACGTCAGCTACGGCTTAGTGAAGGGCACTGACTCGTCCCCAGTCGTCTCTCACTTCCCTGTGTATACACCTTTTGCTGTTCATTACGAGAGAATACGCAATCGTTGGCGTAAAACCGCGACCAATAGCGCGAAGATACATTCATTAGCGTGAAAAAGCGAACATTTGCGCATAAATCAGATTCAATAACGATTTTTGCATTTTAATCAACATTCAATAACACTTTTGGGCATTCATATGGGTCATTGGGCATACAAAAGAGAAAAATATACTTTCATTAACGCCAACATCAAAGTCATTAACACCATCTTGAAAGTCAATAGGGACAACTAACATGCATTAAAGTGCAAGCACTATTCATTAACATTTTTCTGACACTGTTTACAATTCAATAGCATATATTCCTGGACAACCTTAGGATGGATAAGACAAACATTAATGCGCTTGTACAATCAATTGAGTGTTCTTTACATTTAATATGCAGAAAACGATTTTCATTTTATCAATAGAAATTCAAACAAATTTGGCCCGAATTTCACTCCGTTAAATGTATATCCCTCAAAAACCTCGCTATTCAAACATTTTGGAGCGTAGGTTTGCATGAAATGGTACCCCTTAGCACATTTAGCTGCGGTCACAATGTCATGATTCTGCGCAGAGCTTCAAGCACTGCAGTTGTTGTTTCCGAACTCTGCTAGCGGGATTGCTAGGACTTTGCCCCCATTCCTGTTATACATCTTTAAATTTCCGGACTCGAGATGTCGGCCTTTGGTGTCGCTTTCAGACAACTTAAATCCTTTTCAACGATATCGAGGGGGAAAGCATAAGCTGTGTATGTGGGGCGGGAATGGCCAAATCTAGGTAGACTGGCACCCCGTCATACGTAGTCTGCTACACAGCCGTTTTTAGTGTCGTCACGCAACGGGGGAGGAGCGTTGCGTGACGACACTAAAAACGGCTGTGTAGCAGACTACGTCATACGCAAAGACCACCGATTTATCGGGATCCATTATTTCCTCGCCCGTGCCAGAAAAAAACTGACACAGTATTCACTACTCCAGCAGATACCGAGGAAAACATTGATAGGTGATATTGCCATGGTCATAGTCAAGTTTCGTCCTCGTTGGCCGCACATTTACGCCCTTCACTCCCTGTCGCGCCCCACCATGACCGCTGGCCGTCTAAGGAAAATGTATACCCGCAGCCGTCGACGAGTCGACGAACAAGC